AAACCCTGTTTATGCTGGGAAGTTCTCCCTTATGTTTCATAAAATGACTCCTACTATCCTGTACCTCAGAGCACAGCACATGGAAATGCTCCCTAATGACAATACTTTCCTTCAAATTCCTAGAAGACTAAGACACTAAACACCAGAGAAATTCTCTACAGAACTGCAACTGCCTTGCAAGCACACAATTTTACACATGAACAATCAAAAAATGTTTAAATTTTGTGTTTAAGCTGCATCTTAATAAATGAGCTGCTCAATAAACATTCTGGGGTTTTTCTGGCTTTTTTTTTTTTTTTTTTAAATTTTAGCTTAACAATTACTAAAAAAAATTCATTCCCCTGCACTAAGAAACACTATCTTCTATAAAATATTTTTATATTAGTGCTTTTGACAATGCAGTCGCTACCTATAATCAAAATAAGTATTGCTAAAACTGTTCAGACATATCACATTTAGAAACGTGAACACCACTTGAGTACAGCAATAAGAATTATTTGAGTGCAGTATTTATTGTGCTTTAGTAACTGTGGCATGAGTAATTGCATGTTTGTCCCAAATCATTCATTAATCGCATTTTCTACTTCCAGGAATTTTGCTTAGAGAACAGCAATTCAAGGAGGCAAATTATGAAAGCACATCACCACTTGTGCAACCGTCCTCCAAGTCACGGGCTGGAACACGGTCAACACATGTGACCCTTCTACAAAAGGGATGAAAGGTTCCCTAAGGAAAACCCAGATGATGTGAGAGTCCATGAGCTCATTAAACAGCAGTCAGCTAGATCCCAAACCTGAAGCATCACTACCTACACACTCTGTACTTCTTATGGAAAGCAGAGTCATGAAATAAAAAATAACCTCCAACTAGTGATGTAGCATCAGTTTCCTTCAAGAGTAGAGCAAATAATTTTGGTAAAAACCCAGCTCTCCCAAGGAATGCAGTAGCAAACTAAGTTCACAGGTTTACACCAGGGAGTCCTATCCCGATTCCCAATGCTCCCAGCATCCCAAAGCCTCCATGACAACCCATCTGCCTCCTCCAGCAAAACCCAAGGCTGAGGTTTCACATTCTGGGGCAACTGCATCACATTTTTGTGCTGGGTTATTTTTCAGTTGGATCAGTTCCCCACACAGCTGCAGGCTCAGCTGTGCCAGCACAGACACGGGGGTGCCACTACAGGCACGCCCAGGAACAACGGCTTTGGGAGCCTCCGGAACAATCCAACAGCTGGGGAAGAGCTGCCTCATTAAAAAAGAAAGGAGGAAGACATCAGATTAGAGTTAAGACAATGCTACTGAGGAAACAAAATACTTCTCACTGAGAGGAGAGAACATTCCCATTTTGGGAAACCCTGAAGCCAGATTCTGACCAGTCACAATCAAGACGAGGAAAGCTGAGCATAGAACCCACCTTGAGCATATGGGCTAAGCTGGATCCACCTGCCTTGGTCAGAAGTATCTGAACTCAAGTCACTGGCTCACAGGATTCAGAATATGCAAAAAGGATCTTCTCCTAACAGCAGCAGAGTGCCACTACAACAAGACAACTCCATTCCATGACTCCGGAGAAAACCCTTTAGGTATCAACAGCCCTTCAAACTTATTACATTTTGGAAAAACTACAGGCTGCAGACCAGCTTCAGACATTTTAAAGGCTAGGAATTACATTGGGATATTCCAATCTAAGCTCAGATATAATGAGAAGGAATCTCATCCAGTAATTTCTGATGTGTATTCAACTTCTGCTGGAGACAAGTACTTCTTTTTAGGGAAAAAAACAAAAGAAAGAGCATATTAAATCTGGACTTCAGTGGCCACATGACAGAAAACATAATGCACTTCAAGGGAAATTACTATATCATTTAACAGGTTTCATTAAAAATATAAATATATATGCTAAATATACTGAAGAGTTCAGCAGACATCAACTTCCTGCACTTTCAAAGGCAGCCTGTCCCTCACTGATATCCTCTGTGTATACACAGCAAGGGCTGTGCCTGGTTAGCTCCAATAATGTTGGTTTTATTCTGCAACCTGTCATGAATCTTTCTCAAGGTCACTCTTTTGCAGGGTATGAATCCTAGCTCTTATAAAGAAACAACCTACAGGTTTTTTTACCACACTCAAAAGAAGGTATTAGCTCCATAAAAATACTAATACATAACAAATGCATCCGACTGCACGGTCCTTGGTTGTCAAAGTATTTGTGGAAAAAATGAGAGGGAGATCAAGAGGAAAAACTATCAACATGAAAACCAGATCTCCATCAACCCAGCACTGCTTCACCTTGACCACTGATACCAGTTCTGCAGTCAACTAACCATTTTGTTCTGCTTCACACAAATTTTATTGCATTTTTAAACAAAAACTTTTGCCTTTATTAAAAAACTTTTGTCTTTATAAACTTTTGCCTTTATTAAAGACACACTTTCTACATTATATACAAAGGTGTACATATTTCTTGAAGGTATTTAATTAAATAATGGGCTTCCAAGAAAAAATAAAAGTTGTGCAGCATTACTCATGCTGCTATCTTGTGATATTTTATTAATTACATCCAATGTATTAAACACATCAACCTCTCCATAACTTTCTTCAAGACTGACTTCAGTTTTATAGTTCTGAAGATCATGCTTCTTCAGTAGTTTATACTTCTGGAACTTCAGGACTTAAAAACTGGATAAAATATACATTAGTGAGATCAAAACATTCTGAACTCCCTTTTCTGTTGCAAATCATTTAAAATTTAACTATAATTGCAACTAGAATGTATGATAATTAAGTAACAGAATCCATAGCATGGAATAAAATTTATTTTTATTTTAAATTTATAATGCAACACAAGCATTCTACTTCTTTCAAATAACAGTAGTAAATTAATTATAGAACACCTATGACTTTTTGCATTGAGGATAATACTCTTACAGTCTTTGGTACTGGAGTTCAAAAACTGTTGTGAATAGGCACATGTGTCCCTCACTTAATTAAAAAACCCTTTAACTTCTCTTTTCACATCGATTTAAATTTCTCCAGTATTATTTTCACTACTACCCCATTTTTTAAAAAATAAAGATACACCTTTCTTTTTTTTAATACTCCACAACTAAAAAAATTTTTTCTCTTCCTGAGACTTCTTTCATGATTGAGATGGGACTTTAAATAGGCATCTAAGAAAGTTTAAAGTATTTTAATTCAGATTTTTAATGCCTAGATGTTTCTTCCCACATAGTTCTGCTCATGTTCATTTACAGTTCTGGTATTTTGAATCATCATTTGGATTTTTTAATGCTTGTTCTTAAAAACCATATGCAGAGTACAAAGCAGACTCCCCATCAGAAAACCCTGCCTCTGATCCATAGCAACACCTGGTCCTGTCACTCTTAACTGCTATCAACTCAAAAGCAGAGTTAATACAGTTCAGCCCATAATCCTGTGCTGGTTTTGCTAAGTAAAACATATCTAGTAAGTCATACTGCACTCACATCACACCTAATTGTATTAGGCTAATCAGGAACAGCACTGTAAGCTGTTTGCAGAGGGGGTGGCAGAGTTTTCTTAAAATAAAACAAAACAAAATAAACACAAAAACATAGGATCAGCCTATTACTTAGTAGATTCCACAGCAAACATGTTGTCATGTTCCCTTCACATTTTCCCATGGCTCTGGACTTGGTGTAACCAGAGGTTACATTACACTAGTTGGCTGGGATGAGGTACAAGACAGATGCCTCCATCACCTAAACCCTTCTGAATTTTCAGACTGAATTCAGATAACTGCAAATTCCTCCTGAGTTATCTCAAATCTAATCACTTCTCACTTCAAAAATGAAGGTCCAGGAGCCCAAACTCACACTGGTTTATGTCAGACACAGTGAACCAGTGGACTCAGACACTGCTGTGAAACAATCCACAGCCAGCCTGAGTCACTGAGCAGTGCTTTTGAACTACCATCACTGGTAATTCATTTCCCTGTTTCTACATCCCAAGGTAATTGTAAACTACTATTTTTGTTTGGAAAAGGGCATGGGGTGGGAGTACACATTTACAGGGCGTGAGTGTTGTTTGCTTTCCCCGATACAAAGTCAACCAGAACTGTATTCATATCAAAATCAAAAAGCAAAAACAATGAAAAAGGACTCCCCATTAAAAAAAAAAATATTCCACCCTGTTCTAACTAGCTCTCACCCACACCTCTGAAAGGCAGGCAGGCATCAGACACTGGGACTGACAGCCAGTGTGCAATGAAGTGGAAACAGGACAAGCTGAAGGTCTGACCCTGTACCTCTGTCAGCAACACAGCAGAGTGTCTCTGGGAATCCACCCCACTACCAAAAACCACTGTGCTGACCCACAAGCAACACAGCACAAGTATACATAAGGTTCTGTGTCCACTGGCTGCAATCGTGGCCAAAACCATTTCACCAATTTCAAAGACTGATGGAGCAGACCTAAAAAACCCCCCACCCACCCCCAAGCCCTTACAACCCATTCTTCTAATCAATACTTAGAACTTCAAACAACCTCTGTGTGCAGACTTTTGCTGCCAAATTAACACTCTCAGCCCAGCCTTACCTGTTGAGGTTGTGGACATACATCAAGCACTAAGACAGGCTCTCATTCTAAGCCCCTCTGTCCCCCACCATCCCAATAATCCTTCAGAGGCCTCGGGGGTTCAACTGCTTGTGCAGTCATGGAATAAAGAACCAGAAAAACAAAGCAGGCACTGTGCTACAACTGCACAAACTTAAGAAGTTTCATATTCATACCTGAACCAGTAGTGCTTTGGTTTGATTATTTTTTTTCATTAAGGAAAAAAAAAAGAGAAGTAAGAATACAACTGTTTTTCATAAAGACATCACCAGTCTTAATTCTTTCACAGGCTTTGAAATATAGTACAAACCAAGAAAACAGTGAGTTATCCCAATGTTTTTCATTCTGCTGTGTCACACCAAAGAACAATCCCCAAAGACATTTATCAGAAGAAATAAAAAGCCTTACCTTTTGGATAATCTTCCAATAAGAGGTTGAAGTGACCTAACTGACAAAAGAAATCAGACTCGACCTTTCCTTCAGCTTTCAAAATTAGCGATTCATAGCAGCGAACAGCCTGGGAAAAAGAAATACAAGGTTTTCAAAATTCTGTATTTAACTAAGGCAAATAATACATTTTCTGAGAAATAATAAAGTTTCTTATTAGCCTGCAGGACAAGAAGTCTACAAACACTCTCAGTAACACAGCATCACTTTTCAAAGAAGAAATGTAATATTTAAGACGGAACAGATTCAGAAGCTCACTGATTGTAATGCAAATCAAAACAAATCTGGTTTATTTGTGGACATTCAATTTCCCCAACACAAAACAAACCTCTAACTTTGATAATGGCTTTTTTCATTTAAAAAAAAAAAAAATCAATGAAATGCAAAATGATTGATTTTGTTGATTTATTATTTCCAATCTGCAAGAAAGAAACATCTCTGATTTTGTTCTCGTTCTGTGTTGTTTTTTTTCCCCTAAGAAAATTCATTTTTCCTTCTACCAGTTATTTCATTCATTTTTGCTTAACTGCAGAACACACTATCTCAACATGCTTGCTTAGACAATTTATGCACCTTCCCATTTATTTCCCAAGACCTCATTCTTTTCAATTACCTCTATCATGTCATAAAATACAGCTTATTACCTTCTACTTACTACACAGTTAATGCAGACTAAGTAAAGGTAAAGTTAGAAACGTAAATCCAATTAGAAATTAATTTTACTTTGAGAAAAGTTGCCCCAGAAGCTTTTAAGTGGCACACACAAAGGTTGTTCTGTGCTACAACATATATTTTTAACAAATTGAATTGACACCTTCTATTCACTAGAATGGCCATGACCTTTAACCTATTACATCCTTACTTCACGATACTATTTATACTTTGGGAATGAATGAGTAAATAAATAAATAAAATCAGTTTCCCAACTTTCTGAAATTCCAGTTTCTTGAGTTTGAACTTACTGGCCATTAAACCGAAGCAGTTGGATAAACCTAAATGGAAGGAAGGTCCTTTGTCCCAGCAGACAACTTCACACTTTTCAAAAGCCTGACACACTTCCAATGAATTCTAACTCTAGCTCGTTAATCCATGACTTTCACCACCTCATGGTCTGATTAAGTTTCAGATTTGGTTGCAGTTATGAACGGCTTGATTTTAATAGATCACAATAATCATAAGCCCCAATACTTAATCTGAAATGGGGGGTAGGGGAAGAAAAAAAAAAATCAAGCTGAATACTCAATTAGCAGTCTTGTCCATATTTAAAATCTACTTTGTGTAAACTTGTATTAATTACAGAACTGAGAAATGCCAAAAATTAAATGAGGAAATGTTAAGAAATAGTTTAAACACACCTGTCGAGAATCCAAATCACTGATCTAATTTGTTATGTGCAGATCTCAATTTATATCCCAAGACTGAGATATATCACACACTTCCATTTACTTCCAAGTCCAGAAAAGCCTTATCTTATGGCTGTTTTCAGAGGCTAAGTTCTGATGAATAAAAACAAAGCGATGCTGCTACAGAACTGCAGCTGTATGTGTGGTATTACAATGATTTAATAAAGCCATTTAAATTACATATTTCAAACTCTGCAGCTCTTTGGCCATATTCCAAAGAGTTCAAATTGAGATGTGTATTTGCCTCTACATCAAAGAACTGCTACAGCACTTTTCCTTCATGTTGCAAGTTTTGCCTTAGCAAACTGCACTGGAAGGACTATAATTCTGTCCACTGTTGATCAAAGCTACTATTCCTTTAATTTCATTTCCATTACTATCAATACCTCTTGGAGTCAGTCCTAACTCTCAACCTAAAGTATATGATCCTTGAAATCAGAAGCAAAGCATACAAATCTAAAGTAAGTTTCTCAAATCTGTGTATGTACTGACTCGCAACATCAGACTCACCAGCTGAACCTGCTCCCACCTGCAAGTATTTTAATGCAGAATCTTGGTTTTGGGGCTGTGCTTCCTCTCTCCACTTTTTGGTCTCATCTCTCCATTTGTACAAATTGTAACAAAATTCTTGGTAGTGCCCCTAATGTTACTGTCAGATTGATTTGTAGACAGGCTTTCTGTTTTACCTGCTGCAGCTGCTGAAGAGAATATTCACACTACAATAGTTTCTTAAATTAATATTTTGTCTTCTCCAATTCAGTCACTGTTCAGAGCATATAGAAACTGCCACCACAGCAGGTAGCTTAGAAAAACTGTGGAGAGGAAGTTGAGGTAGTTTATTTCCTGAATTAGATGGCTACAGTTATTTGAAGAGAACCTGACTTCATGAACAAATATAACAGGATTTTTCTGTACAGATGTTCAAGGAAATTATAAATCACACAAACTTAAACATCTCAGCATCTGGGGACCTTCAGTGTTTCCCCAGCTCCTTTTTAAGCAAACCCTCATTAAAAGATGTATCACAAGTATCTGAAGCACTGTGTATAGCACGGGTACAAAAACCTGTGCCCAAGCCTTTCACACATCTCAGATCAATTCTCAACGAGGCAGACTTTCCTTTGCCTTAGAATACACACTGAACATACTGCTAAGCCATCTCACTAATGCAGGAACAAAGCAAGGCCCAAGACTCCAGAACTTCCCCTTTAAGCCTCAGTTAACTGTAAGTTTTCTGTTCCTGTAAGACCAACTCAGTTACACCATTAAAAGCAAACCCTCCCAGCCCACCTCTAACCTGTTTGCAACATCATCAGGAAAACACTTGTTTTTATGCAACCTTAACTTGTGAAGGTTGGTTGTTTCAAATGCATTTTTTAAATTCTTTGAGCACATTGTAACGAAATGAAACAGAAACTAAACCCAAGCTTTATTTCCTTGGCGGGAACACCAAGTCAGCCTCCCTGTCTCAGGTTAGTCCCTGTGTGGCTCTTGGTTCTTCCCAGTAGATTCACCCAGACAAACTGATTTATCCAACTTTGGTTTTGGTCAAGAAACTTTCTTCCCCATCAGACCAGTCTAAAAGTATCTTAACAAAGTAATAAGTACTTTTCTGCACAGTTAGGAATTTGTCTCTTTGTTGAATGAACAGATGTAAAGAGGGAGGACGCAACTACATGTATTTGTATATGATTTCTTTGAAGGAATAATCAAAAGATCAAGTTTCAGTGGATCTTTAACTGCCAAGGCCATCTATTACACCACTTGTGCAACCCATTTAAATTATCCAGAGACACCAAGAATTCAGAGGAAGTTAAAAACCCCTGAGGTTTTTATGTATTGTTATTTCTCCACACTATATGATAGCTAAGTGCATTCAGTGGAGTCAGCCTTGAGAACTGTTAATATTGACAAATTACCAAGAAAGGGAAAGAGCCTGGAATGAAAAGGGAGATTGCTATACAACATCATACGCTTCCTTCCCTTTGTTCAAGGCTGCATGAAGATAAAAGGGAAACCTGAAGAATTTAGGAGCTTGGCAAAATAAGCACCCGCAGCTACTTTGCAGTGTGGCAACCAGAGAAGGAGCAGGAAACCAACACAGGAATGGCTGCAGGAAACAAACTGGTTTATATGACACCAAAAAAAGTAACAATCTTCATGCTGTTTGCCAGCTTCACACTTTTTGTATTTGCCATACTAATTCCCTCTTGTGACATTAGAGTTCGTGATGGGGGGCATCCTGATTTCACAAATTCAGCCACCAATTCTCAGGACACCTTTAAATACAACATAGTGAAGAAAAAGGCTTACTGTATTTGCCAGCTTGGAAAAAGCCAGCAGAACACTCACATGTGTTCACAAAAGGAATTCTAGTATCACCTTTAAAATGTGCTACCAAACCCCTGTGTGCTCACTACTTATCATTCCAAAGAGAAAGGAATGATATATTTTTTCTATCTGTTGTAAGATCATTGACCCCCCTCCCCCTCCCCACACTCACAAAAAAAGCCCCAAACGAAACCAAACCAACCCCATAAAGCAAATGCCAGTTTTGGCTCTTATGAACATCATGTCATTTCATGAATAAAAGACCCTAGATTTGGGAATATACCATAACAAGTAAGTAAATAAATAAATAAACCCAACCCAAAACAATCTAACAGATAAAACCAGAATTCTAAATATTGTATACAGGAGTCACTGAAACACATTACAGCTCTGCTTTATAAGGGAAAAGGAAGGACAATGTTATTTCTACTTCAACTAATACGAAGGAAAAAAACTTTACCATTATCACTGGTTGTAATTATTTCTATTTTGCAGCACAAATTCAAACTACTGCTAAAAAAGTGTACTAAAAAGAAGGGGGTGGGGGGAAAAAAATCAATACAGCTTGTTTGAATTGTTTCTAAAGAAGACAGTGGACTGATATTCTTTCTCAATCATGACAAGCATGACTGACTATGAAAGCAAGCAGGGCTAAATGGTCAAACATGACAAGATGTTAATTCTTTAATATATTAATCATACAAAAATTGGGGAGTGCTCTAAGTCAGCAGATTTTTACTTAAAACAGAAAAAACACTGGCAACCACGGAGAACCAAAAAGCTAGCAATTTAAACTGTTAGCATGGCAACAGCTGGGCAGTAATATACAGTGAAAGATGTTATTTGAATTTTACTGGGTAATAAATGAACAGCTCAAGAAAAAGACAGCGTTTTAATGCAGACAATATAGCGTAAAATGACAAATTCAAAGCCTCAAGATGTTCAAGATGTTCCTAGAACCTTCAAGTTCACAAGAGAAAACACTACTGTATGGATGAACTGGGGGAGAGTGACAAAAAACCAGTTGCTGCTCCATTTTTCTTGATTCTCCAGTGATCCAACTGGGCTTTGAGAGCAAGTAATGAAAACTGGAAGCACGAAGAAGATTCCATGAAAAAATTTGAAGAGGGAGATGTCAGTGGACTCTTCACAAATGAAATACATACTACACTAATGGTTCGAAATGGAACATTAATTAGGTCTTAAAGGATATTTTATCCTCCTGGAAAATGAAATAACTACGTGGCCACTGAGGTGATGGTCACACAGTCCACTACCAGTCAGTCAGAGGGTACCCACAGACCAGAAAGGCAGAAGTGTCTGTGTGTGCTGGGCT